GACGCTACTTATAGGGCTTTCAACGCGAGTTCTGCTGCTTTTAAAGGACGCTCGGTAGTCAATGATCACGCGGTGAAATCTTCACCAGGGCGATCTTGCGCGATTGACCTTTGTGAGTCTCGTGGGTCGGGAAATTTGCAGCTATGCGAGAATGCCGCTGTGTACCACGCAGAAAGGCATGCGACTATTGCATGAAATATAAAATATTCTAGAGAAGTGAGCGTAACGCGGTGCTACGTGCCGAAACGTGACTTCCTCGCGCGGATTTTCGCGCGCTGCCTGAGTAGAAACGTCGCCTCCCGCGTCAACGGCGCGACGCGCCGCGTCACGACGCGACGCGAGGCGAAATAAACGTCCGCTCGCGCGCGCGCTCGTTAAGCGAACGGCACGGATTGTCGTCGTTATTGCGAGCGTTTCATCTCCATTAACGATGACACCTTTCCGGCGTGCCGGCGAGAGAAGCAGACCCGGCGCGGTGCAAGCGCGCGCGGCCCTACGAGGGCGAGAGCGACCGACGAGGGAGAACGATAGAAAGAAAGTAGGTCTCTGCCAGAGACGTCGTCATTGAGAGCGTTGTGTATTTTCGCTGACAGGGGAGAGTACTACACGAGGGAGATTTACAATGACAATTCCGCGCACACGTGCGACCGTGGGTGCGCTGACAAAATCGCGCTAAAGCAAGTCCTTGCGAATTTTCGGCCCGGGATTTTTCACACGGAGAGAAAAAAACATTTGGCTGAGTTGTGACCAGATTCCCGGTGAAATATGAGCGAACCACAAAAAATTCCGGTTGAAATTACCGGAATTCTGTTCAACAAGATTTCAGAGCTTGCAACTTTCGAGTCAATAGGATTTCTGATTAACCAGAACTTGCAACTATTCAAGTTAACCAAAAAACTTGTTAACTCGAATAGAATTTGAGTAACCCTTCAACCAGATTTTTGGCTTGTTCATATTTCACCAGACATTTGGTTAATTTGATCAAACTTTATTTACCGTGTACAAAACACCTTCCAAGTCGTTCTTTCCTCATGACATGGACAAGAGTGCATTTGAGTTATTCTCCCTTCCTTTACTTTTAGTATTTCTAACAGCGCGAGTTTTTTAAAAAATCAACAAGATACACTGAAGAAATGCCGAGACGAAATGTTTGCGAGTGGTAGAGGCGATTATAAGTACAGAGTGGATTGGACACGGAGAACGAAGAAGTTTCTTTTTCATGTGATGGCACTCCTCAATCACTTTTTGTTTCTCGCAGACTTTCTTTCGCTTTTCTGCTATCCCTTCTGACCCGGGACGCGATCATTGTAGTTTTTACGACGTCGTATTCTCTCTCTCTCTCTCTCTCTCTCTCTCTCTCTCTCTCTCTCTTGCTCGTATTACGAAAACATCCGCGAACGTTCTCCCTCCCTTTCTCTGCTCACAAAGTATGTAAATTCTCATTAGCTTGTACTTTTCTTACGTGACTTGAAAATATCTCGTCTCGACTAATTATTCATCAAGTATCCCGCGAATCTGTGCGCGCTCCATCAGATACCGAGCGCGTGGAATCCTATTTATCCAGCGGCGAGATAATTTTGGCGCGCGAGCGGATCTTTCTTCTAATCGGATCGCCTCTAAAGGATCTGGATCTAAAACTGCGGAGAGATAAATTAACTGTATGCAAAGCGCGAGTCCGTTTTAATCACCAGCCGCGGCGGATCGGATCGTTGTTTCCGCACGCAAATTGCCGCCTTTTCCCCGACGATGCGCCGGCCTCCGATGTGGCTTCCTCATGGCGCGCTCGTCTTTCGCGCACACGGAGGGCCCGATGAACAATCGCTGCGGCGTACTACCGCGCGCGGCCGCGCACAATTTTCCGCGGCCTAACTTCGTTTCTCGACTCGCAGACAGAGAGAAAATCCGTGTTCGCTCGCGGCGCGGCTGTATAGCATGCATACGGGAGTTTGCATAGTTCGTACCACCTGGTAGATACATCGCTGCTCGGATAAACGACGAGCAGAGAGACGAAAGAGAGAGAGAGAGAAAGAGAGAGAGAGAGAGACAGAGGGAGGGAAAGAAAGAGAGATAAAGAGGTGAATCGCGTGGTGGTTGTGATAGCAGCGCGGCCCCGCGCGGGTTGGGAAGACGAAGGCAGAAGACGAAAGCGAGGCAGGGGTGGCGGGTAGGTAGGGGAAGAAGGATGGCTGAAGAGCCGCGGTAGGGGGCGACGGTGGCTCGAAGCGAGTGGGGTCGAAGCTGTGGCTGAAGGAGGGAATGACCCCGCGCACCGGGGTCAACCGTTGCACTATGCTCCCCGTGTCTCATAGTCATGGACGAACACTCGCTCGCTCTGATATACAAACGCGCGCTGTGTACACACGGGCCTGGAAGAAACCACCTGAGCACACCTGAGTTAGGTGCTGCTTGCATGCCTGCCTGCCTGCCTGTCGTGTTGCGCGTTCGCGTACTTACTGCGCGCTGTCGTCGACTCGCGCACGACCTGGCAATATTTATGAATACACGCGGGATGAGAATGGCGAGACGGCGCTGCGCATTATTTCTCGTTATTGTCAGTCGATATATATTTTTAGAATCCCCCGGTCCCTGCCGGCGTCAGACACCGCGAGTCAGCCATTTCCATCCCGGACACTCGCCAAGACGCCAAGTACAAGGCGGGGAAAAAGGTTGCGGGACTCGAATGTATGCGTGGTGTTCTGTGTGTATGTGTGTGCGTGTGTGTTGTGTGCTCGAAGAGAAGATATTTCCATCTAGATCTCCACGAGTGAACAATATATGTTAAAGCTTGGCGGAATGTAACTTGGAGCAAGATACATGGAGGTATCGCGCTGCACTGCGCCCGTCTAGTTTTAGACCCGGCAGAAATATGTACTGAGTAGCGAGAAAGTGTCTGAAAACGCGCACGTACGTCCATTCGCGGTCGGAGATGAGCGCCGAGTTGTGTCGGCTTTCTATTAAAATTTCCAGCGAACTACCTCTCCATTGAACGGAGAGTCGCGCGAGGATACACATTCGTTAACGTTATCGAACGCTAATACGAACGTCGGGAAGAACGTACGCTTAAGTAGTTCGTTGGACAGAGGGAAGTTCGTTGACCCCTGGAGTCCGGACTCCTAGACCGGAAATATCGGTACTGCAAACTAAGCAAAAGCGATCTTGGCGTCCGGCTGTCTCGAACCCCTCGCGTTTCACATGCACGGGGGGACGATACATGTAAAAGCGCACGAAATTTGTACGTATATCCACGGCCGGTGCTCCCGTACTGGATTACGTCAAGTCGGATTTCAGTATCGCGCGCGGCTATTCACGGAACAATGAGCTTCGCCTCTGAAATCGCTTTATGCGCCATCATATTTCTTAGCCGGCCGCGCGTCTATACTTTCCGCCCGGAACAGAAGATATCCGCGGCCCGGCGTTAAGTTATGATGGATATAGTCGCGCTGCATCTATCATGTAATCAAGTTACAGTCGTCTGGGAGTGCTGTCGCGGACGTTTGGATATCGATTCCGGCCGCGCGTACGTCCCCGCATTGAGCGCGCGGCGCGGCGTGGCGAACGCGCGGGATGCGCAAGATGCCGCATAAATCACGCTAAGTCGATAATCAAGCCGCGTTCTCCAGCGAGACAATGGGAAAGAGATGCGTGCGATAACGATAAAAGCGGCCGATCGATCGATCCGGAGCGCGTGTCGCGCGTATCGCACCGTCATCGTCGTCGTAAGATAAAAGTACCACGTACGATAATGCATCAATGTCATTTAACAATTAATAACTAAAATCTACATGGTTATTTGCAAAATGATAGAGGACTTTTTCGTTCAGTTTGATCTAATCTACAAAACAGACGTCGCTATCACTATTCATCTGCCGTACCGCACATGACAATCTCCTTTAATTATTAATTCAACAGTTTACGCGGTTCTTCGAGAAATGGTAGAATTTTTTCTTCATTTTGACCTAATTTATCCATACACCGCGGCTCTAACGCAAGTTACCGGACACTCTGTGTACGTTGAAAAAGTTTAAATATTCTTATTTAAAGACCAACACACACGCAGTAAGAATGTTCAGGCACGTGTTTGGGCATTGCTATTTTTACCTTATTGCTGGTATAATTGCCGGTGCGACGCATTGTAATCTTTCTACGCTATCGGGGGTTGGAAATTAAGCGCATCAGTCGCGCCCTGACACGCTCAGCGCTCGCCACCTCGTCCGGTGAGAATAACAGCGAGGAGAAGAGGAAAACGAGACATTTTTCGCAATACTTAAGTGGCACGCCAACGCCAGCGAACCACCGTTCCCTATTAACGCAATTAGCGATTTCATTAACGCTAATTACATCACGCGTCTAACGTTCCGCTTAATTCGACCCTCGCGCGTCCACCACCCAGTGGCGCGACAATGATTGATACCGACCTACGAGAATTTCCGACCCGCCTTTCTATTTTTTCTCTCTCTTTCTCTCTCTCACTCTCTCTCTCCCCTCACGGCACGCAAATCCGGAAAAGACCTGAAAATCCTCTTTGAACTTTTCCAACAGGGAGGAGTTCTTATCTCCGACGAAAAGCTCGTAAAGAAGTCGGAACGGTTTCGAGGTAGCCGCCACTTTTTTTTTTGCACGAGACTTTAATAGCGCTATATCGCTCATTCTGTTCGTTTCGAGATGCGGATCTTTTCACGGCATATCTCGCACGCGAAAGGTGTGACGCGGTAATCACGTCTACCACGTTCCCAGGCGCAACGACTTGTTCACAGCGGTTTGCTTCAAGCCCCCTCAACGAATGTATAACCTCCGACAATTATTTCGCAAGATACATAAAACCATGCTTTCGCGAAAGAACGAAGATCGAGAAGGCTCAGGTTGCTTCGCGCGCTTCTCGAAATTGCAATTGCGAGTCAATTGGCAAGCGTTCAACTCGCACCGATCTCATCAACTGGATATCCGTCCCGTGTAATGCAATAAACTACAAGTTTGAAGGGAAAGTTCATGAGAAGGCTTACCCGTTACGCTGAGCAGCGACATGGTCGGAGGGTCCTCGGTTGGCCCGCTTAATTTCCCGAATTGTCCTCAATCGGTCGTGGGGGCACTCGACTTGGCATGTAGATCCGCACGAAGACGATGTGACCTCACGATGAAACACGCCGGGTTCGGAAATATACTCTCTCCCTCTCTTTCTCTCTCTCTCGTATACAATGTACAGGCTCCTCCTACCTTCTGTATTCCTACACTAATAATCCCTTTTGTCTCTTGCTTTCTCTCTTTCTCTTCCTCCCTCTCTCCCTTTATCCCTGTCTCTTTGTTTTTATTCACTGTGCGCCTCTATCACGTACGACATATACGAGCGCGAAATACGTATGCAATGCATGTATGCGCGTATAGATGTATTATAGATAGATATTTATATATATATATATATATATATATATATATATATATATATATATATATATATATATATATATATATA